AACCATCATTTCTATCCCCAGGCACAGCCAGGCACCAGGACCTGGCTCACCCCACATCCCTGCACACCACGTGGCCATGCCGGACTCCCCCTGGGTGCTCCCAAATGCAGCTCCCAGAAATCTTCCAAAAATCCATGCTAAACAAATAAAAAAATAGCAAAACAATAATTTCCCCCCAAATTTTGAGCTTTTCCCTCCTTTCCCCCACCAAACCCAGGCGATGCTGGGCTGTGCTGATCAATCCCCAACAATCAGCCCCATCACGAGGTTTTTCAGGCTCCAGAGTGGCTCATGCTGCTTGAGAGATATAATTGAGGCTTTAAAAAAAGACAAAAAATAATAAAATAAGTGAAATCCAGCTGTGGTCCAAGCAGCCAGTCATACCCAGCGAGGCTCTGGTGTGCCAGGTGATGCTTCCTGGTGGGATTTACCTACTGGGGGGAATTTCATCATTCAGGGCTGCTTGTTGTGACCTGAAATGGGAGAGAGGAAAAATGGGGTGGGAAAGAGTAAATTTGATGCTCATGGGAAGCATCATATTGGAGGCAAGCTGGGAATGAGGGGTCGTGGACCCCCAAGAGACCAGCCAGGAAGGGTCGGGGGGAGCCAGAGGGGGGGTTCAGCACATTGGGATGAGTGCTGGAGGCAGGCACGGCACCACGGATGGCTGGACCCCCCAGCCTGCTCCTGTGCCTCGGTTTCCCCCCGTTGTGTCACAGTCAGGGGACATTTGGTGCCCAGCAGGGTGGAAGCGCAACTTGGGGGTGCCCCCGATGGGTCCCGATCCCCCAGCCCTGTCACTCTGTGTGAGCACGGTGGGAAGGAGGGGCTACAACCCTCACCCCACCCTCCCCGGCACCCCCCAGCAAAGAGGGGGTCCCTCAGCATCCCCCCAGCCCTTCAGTATCCCCGGGGGCTGGGATGGCGCTGCAAGCCCGATCCCCCGCTCCCGCATCCATCAGAATGCGCCGCGTGTTCCTCTCCATAGCAACCCCTGCTCCCGGCCCCCCCGGGCTCCTCCGCAGCCCCGACCCCGCTGGCACCGCTCACCTCTCCTGGCACTGCTCACCTGTCCCAGCATGGCACTGCTCACCTGTCCCACCATGGCACTGCTCACCTGTCCCACCATGGCACCGCTCACCTGTCCTGGCACCGCTCACCTGTCCCACCGTGTCACCGCTCACCTGTCCCACCATGGCATCGCTCACCTGTCCTGGCACCGCTCCTCTGTCCCACCATGGCACTGCTCACCTCTCCTGTCACTGCTCACCTGTCCCACCGTGTCACTGCTCACCTCTCCTGGCACTGCTCACCTGTCCCACCATGGCACTGCTCCCCTGTCCCACCATGGCACTGCTCACCTCTCCTGGCACTGCTCACCTGTCCCACCATGGCACCGCTCCCCTGTCCTGGCACTGCTCACCTGTCCCACCATGGCACCGCTCCCCTGTCCTGGCACTGCTCACCTGTCCCACCATGGCACCGCTCACCTCTCCTGGCACTGCTCACCTGTCCTGGCACTGCTCACCTGTCCCACCGTGTCACTGCTCACCTGTCCCAGCATGGCACTGCTCACCTGTCCCACTGTGTCACTGCTCACCTGTCCCAGCATGGCACCGCTCCCCTGTCCTGGCACTGCTCACCTGTCCCACCCTGGCACTGCTCACCTGTCCCACCATGGCACCTCTCCCCTCTCCCCCCCCAGGTAGCTGCGCCCCCCACCCCCGACCCCCTCTCCTCTCCCGGAGGCTGCTGCCTTCACCTTCCCAGGCTGGAAGTTGGTGCATTTCTGAATTTCATTTGCTTTGTCCTTATTTTCCTCCTCTCTTTGCTCCTTTCTGGCGGTGGCGCTTCTCCAATCCATCTCCTGTGCTCCTGTGCCCCTTCCCCCGGTGGTGCCAGGTGGGCAAAGCCCCTCCTGCCTGCAGAGCCCCCAGAGTGCCACCGGGCCCCTGGCACTGACCCCCAGATCCCCGGCTGGCACCGATTGGTACCAAAATTCAGCTTTCTTGGTGCAATTCCACCCCTGAAATCCAGGGAGGGTCAGCATCCCTCCAACACCCACCCCCTGGCACGGCCAGGCCGTGCTGCCCCAAAAAAGAGAAGCAAGAAAGCAGCGGGCATCGCTCAATATATAGGTTTCTTTTTAATATAAAAAAAGTGCCTATTAAAAATTCCTTCCTAAATAACACAAAAAGACCGTTTGAGGGGCAAAGCGGGGGCCGGGGGGGCTCACGGGGGGCCCCTCTGGCCAGGGCAGCACAAGCACTGCACAGGGCAGCTGGGGGGGCGGGGGAAGGAGGGGGTATTTTGACCAAATTTGGGTCGTTTTCCCTTTTTTTTTTTTTCCTTTTTTGTGAATTTTGCCTTTTTTATCCATTTCAGGGTGGTTTTCTTCTCTTTGTGTGTGTGTGTGTGTGTGTGTGTGTGTGTGTGTGTGTGTGTGTTTTCTCTTTTTTTGCACAACCCACAAAGCTGCACAGGGATTGCCAAACTCTTGAGGAGGGGGGGGACACACAGGGAAGTTGTGGGAGGAGAGGACCCCGAAGCCCACCTGGCACCCACACACGCACGCACACCCTGAGCTCGCCACCACCGCCGCCCCGGGGACCCTGGGAAAGGGACCCCCCTTTACCCCAGCCCCCCCATTCCCCCTCCCCACCAAGAGGGTCTGTGATTGATTTAGTCCTTTTTTTTTTTTTTCCTTTTTTTTTTTTAAAGTTTTTCTTTCTTCTTTTTTTTTTTTTTTAACTCCTTTCTTGTTTTTATACAAATTTGGATCTTTGGGTGTGTACTGCCAAAAAAAGAAAAAAAAAAAAAAAACCAACCAAAAAACCCAACAAAAAAAATCAAAAAACCCGCCTTCGTTCTTCAGAATAATAATAAAAATAAAACTCAAATCATCATTGAATCATTAAAAAAAAGGCAACGGAAACCCAAGGAACCCATGCGGAAGTTGCACACCACAAAACCACAGCAGATGTACAGAATGCAATATACAAGACACGATTTATAATAAAACATTATATACAATAAATAGGTTATTGTCACTTTTTTCTTTTTTTTCTTTTTTTTTTTTGTTGCTCGATCTGTAAATAAATTTTTTCTCAGTGCATACTGGGGGGGTTTTGCTCTTTTCTGCTGCATATTCACCTCTTGGATGCTTTAGGCCAGTTCTCCATCATTTTTGGATTCTCCCTCCGGTGCATGATTCTCTCTCTCTCTTTTTTTTTTTTTTTTGTGATTTTTCAGCTTTTTAATTTTTTTTTTTTTTTTATCCTTAAACATTTTTTTTAACTTCTTTTCTTCAAAAGTATTTACAATTGCTGGTTTTGTGCAGAAAATGAAAATTAATCAAATAAAAAATAAAACTTAAAGAGTCCCTCTGCTTCTGGCTGGGAGGAGAGAGAGAACGCGGCGCCGGCGCCACGGCCGAGGCGGGGCCGGGGGCGAAGCGGGGGCGGCGGGGCGGGGTCCCCTCCGGAGGCGGCCCCCTCCTCTCCATCTCCATCTCATCTCCATCTCCATCTCATCTCCATCTCCATCTCCATCTCCATCTCCATCTCCTCTGCTCTGCTCTGCTCCGGCGGCCGGGACGGGCGGGGGGCGCAGGGCTGGGGGTGCTGGGGCTGGGGGCAGAGGGAGAGAGGGGTGAGGGTCCCACCCTGGGCTGCCCGTGCGCCCCCGGCCACCCAGCACCCGCGGAGCGGGGCTCCGGCACCCCCAGACCCGGGGCCCGGGGTGCTGCTGCCCAAATCTGGCACCCCCAGACCCGGGGGCCGGGGTGCTGCTCCCCAAATCTGGCACCCCCAGACCCGGGGGGGGGTGCTGCTGCCCAAATCTGGCAGCCCCAGACCCGGGGGCCGGGGTGCTGCTCCCCAAATCTGACACCCACACACGCAGAGCTTGGGGTGCTGCTCCCCAAATCTGGCACCTCCAAACCCGGGGCCCGGGGTGCTGCTCCCCAAATCTGGCACCCCAACACTCAGGGCTCTGAGGGGGTCCTGTTCAACCCAATGTGGCACCCAGGGGATCTGGGGGTCCCGTTCACCCCAGTGTGGCACCCAGGGGATCTGGGGTCCTGTTCACCCCAGTCTGGCACCCATGCCCCAGAGGATCTGGGTCCTTCCCATCCAGCCTTGCACTCTGCAGTCCTGCTCGTTCTTGTCCGGCACCCACGTACCCGGGGCTCTCGGGTCCTGCCTGCTCCATCTGGCACCGAACAGGGCTCTGGGGCACCCCACACCCCCTCACCCTGGCACACCCTGGCTCCTGCACCCCACAGCCCAGGCTCCAGCCAGCCCCAGGCACTGCAGCCCACAGGGTCCCCACTTTGGTGCTTGGTGGGACAGCACCCAAGGGCTCCCAGCCCAGCACGGGCCGGGGCGCCCTGAGGGTGGGTGCAGGTGGGTCAGGGAGCCCCCAGGGCACGGAGCAGCCGGCACAGCCTGGCTGGGAGCACAGCTGGCACAGCCACTGGCTGGGGAGCACAGCTGGCACTCACCTGGTGACAGTGGCGTCTCCGAGCCCCGCTGGCGACGGTGCCAGAGCCTGGAGGGGTCAGCGCTTCACCACCACCCATCGCTGTCCATCCGGCAGGAACAGCCCCGGGCGACAGCGGACGGGGAGGGACAAGAAAAGAAAAGAATCCCCAAACAGCCTCCCCGGGGCGGCCGAGGGGCCCCGGCCGGGCTGGGGGCAGGGGGCACCCAGCGCTGACCCCCGGATCCCCTCCTGCCCTCCCTGCCCGCGCCCCTGCGCCGGGCCTGCGCTCTGTCCGTCCGTCCGTCCGTCCGATTGTCCTGCTGCGGGGCGGGGGGGGCGGCAGTCCGGGAAGCAGAGCCGGAGCTTGGCAGGCGGAGCGGGTTTGAGTGCGGAGGGGGAAAAACGGGGGGTTTCTCTCTTCATCCATTATTATTAATTTTTTCCTTTTGTTTCACTTATTTTTTATCTTTTTTTTCTCCTTTTTTTTTCTTTTTTTCTCCTTTTTTCTTTCTTTTTTTTTCTTTTTTTTTTTTTTTTTTAAGAAAACAAACAAACGGTTCCAATCCCAGTTAAATACAGAACTTGAAAAGTGTTCCAGAAAAAAGTGCTGGCTAAATTACCTCTGAAAGAGAAACACAACATGGAGAGAGAGGGGGACACAATGAGAAGGGCCCTGAGGGTCCCCTGTGTCCCCTCCTGCCACCCTCGCTCCCAGCTTCTCCCCCACCTACCCTGTAACAAAACCTCGTTGTCCCGTTGGCACGTCAGCAGACACTACAATGAGGTGACCGTAAAAGTGTCCTCAGGGTGTTGTTGCTCTACCATGGGTCCCAAAAACCCGCTCTTCTGGCTGGGGGCCATGACGGGGTGCCCTTGGGGTGCAAAACTGGGGTACCTGTAGTTGTCCTGCAGCTGCAACATTGAGTCTCTCGGTACGGGGGAGATGTTCAAGTCATTGATCAAGGGACAAGCGTAGGGTCCTCGGTGGTGGGCCCGGGACATCTCCAAGGGCTCCTTCTCGCCCTTGGAGGGGTGGGTGCTGCTCGGGCTGCTCAAGTGGGGGTTCAGACACGGGGGGTCCGTCCTGCCCATGAAGTCTACCAGCATGCCAGCCCCCGCCTTGCCGTCGTAGGAAGGGCTGCGGGTGCTGGCGTTGGGGGAATACCAGTACGGGGGGTTTTTGCAGCTGGGGGAGTCATAGTGCGCTTGAGGCATGGGGAGGTCTCGGCAGGCCAGGTGTGGGGCGTGTGGCAGGGCTCCCCCCTGCATGCTGTGTTTGAGCGAGTCGCAGGCGGGCAGCTTCCGCATGCTGCCTGCCCGCAGGTCCTCCTTGAAGGCCAAGGTCGGGGAGCAGTTGGGCGAGAAGGCTTTCTGCAAACCGGCCTCGAACACAGTCTGCTGGCCGGGGGCTGCCAGCTGGTGCGGGAGGGCAGGGAAGTGCTTGCTCTCCAAATCCGGCTGCCCTAAACCGGGGGAGTCGCTCTGGAACCCCTGGACAAAGGTCCCGTCCGAGGGGGTGGAGGGGTTCATGGAGTAGGGGCCGGTGTAGTCACAGGGGTCCCGCTCCCCCACCCCGAAGCCCCGGGACTGGGAGGGCAGGGGGGACATGCTGCTGTCCCCGCTGTAGTAGTCCAAGCCCAGGTCCGTGCTGTCCTGGAACAGGGGGTTCACCGCCTGTGACTTGGTGGGGAACTTGGCTTTGCCCGTCCCCCTCTCCTTCTTGGAGGCACAAGCCCCTCGGGAGCCCCGGGGCTGCCGGGGTCCCGTGTTCCTCTTGGAGGGGTACACAGAGGAAGATGAGGAAGAGGAGGAGAAACTCAGGTGGGAGGTGTCGAACATATCCACCTTCTTCCGTCGGCCTCGACCGGGCTTGGAGTTACTCTGGAAGAGGACGCTCTGGTTCCAGTTGTAGCCAGGGGCGGAGGATGCCTCGTTCCAGTCCATCATCAGCTTCTCCAGGCTGGAGAGGCTGGACTGGCCCTCGCTGGAGGACGCCTCGCTGTTGGCGCGCCGGTAACCAGCCGGCTGGTTGAACTGGGTGCTGTCAGAGGAGGACTCCGAGAAGGTCTCAGAGACCGTCTGCTGCTTGGCTTTCTGCGGGGTGTAGTTGGAGATGTCCAGGATGACGTTGGGTTCATTGAGGTGGCACTCGAAGCCCGGGTTGTAGAGCTGGCTGAAGGCTTCTGAGCTCCAGTCCAACCCTCCGTAGCCCTGCCGGAAGGCCCACGGCGCGGAGCTGGGGAACTGCCGGCAGTTTTCAGGCGAGGGCTGGAAGGACGCTGACCCCTTGGGCACCATGTAGCCGCCGGGCGAGACGGTGCTGGCCCGGCTGTCGCAGCGCAGGGGGGTGTGCGCGGCGCTGGAGAACTGCCCCCCCTGCTCGGCACTGTTGAAGAAGGCAGCTTTTCCCAGCGGCAAACTGGGACCAGCTGTCGGTGGCGCGTAGCCGGCACTGTGGGCACTGCTGGGCGAGGACGGGAGGCTGCTGCCGCTGCCATAGGCGAAGCTGCAGTCCTTGCTGTTGGGGCAGTCCTGTGCTGATGGGTACTGCTTTCCTGGCGGGAACACGCTGGCGGGTGCCACGCTCTGCCCGGCGCTGCCGTAGCTGCCGTAAGGGGAGTAGCCGGGGGTGCCGCTGGCCGCCGGGTGAGCCGTGGGCGACCGGGACACGGCTGATGGCGGGGCCAGTTTGGGGAAGGACTCGGTGCCCCGGCACTCGGAGGAGCCTTGGGTCACCCCGTAGGCGCTGGAGGCGCGGCCGGGCGGGAACGCTGGCCGGCCCTGCATGGCCGCGTGGAAGGCCTCGGCACCGGGGTTGGCCGCCGGCACTTTGCCGCCGCGGGCCGCGTAGGCAGCCATGCCCCGCTGGCCGGGCAGCGCGGCCGGGGGCGCCGTGTAGGCGGCCGCCGATTTACGGGACTCGGAGCGGGACGCGGAGAGGGCGAAGTCCAGCAGGTCGGAGGAGTCATCGGAGTCCAGCAAGGAGCGGAAGTAGCCCGTGAAGAGGCTGTGCCTCTCCGGACCGGTCTCTGTCTGCGAGGACGGCGCGCTGCCAGCGTAGAAACCGGCACGGCCAGAGGAGCCCGACTCCAACCCCGCGGCGTGGAAGGGTCTCGCCTCGGCCCCTTGGTAGCCACCGTTGCGTCCAGGCTGGCCGCCGGGGTGGCTGTGGTGGGGGGCCCAGGGGCTGCCCTTCTCGCCCCCGCCCCACTCTGCGGCGGGGCCGTCCCCGAAGCTCTGCCCGGAGTTGGGTTCGGGGAACAGGGCCCCGTTCTTGCGCGCCCGTCGCTTCCGCTTGGGCTTGCCCACGGGGTCGGGCTCCAGCCGGCCGCGCTTGCGGGGGTGCACGGGGTCAGCGTGGAGGGCCGTGGGGGCTTTCTTCTTCTTCCCGATGCCCTCAAAGAAATCGCTGAAGGAGCAGCGTGCGGCGCGGGCTGCGTGGCTGCCCCCGCGCCCACCGAAGCCCCCCGCCTTGCCGCCGCGCCGGCGGAAACCCTGGACACGGTGCAGGAAGTGGGAGATGCTCTGGGTGTCGGGGGCTTGGTGGATGGACTCGGGCTCGCTGGGGGTCCAGCAGCGGGGTGGCGAGCAGCGCCCCGAGCACTGGCTCTGTCGGTTCAGGAAGGCCAGCTTGGCCAACACATCCGAGTAGTCGGCTTTGCTGTCGTTGGTGTCGGCGATGTAGGAGGGCTGGGGCGAGGCCAGCTTCTGCTTCCTCCTCCTCCTCTTCTTCACTTCTGGGGTGGGCTCCTTGGGCTTGGCTTGGCCCAGCAGCAGGTTTTTGGGAGGCCGGCCCCGCTTGCGCTTCAGGATAATGGGCATCTCGCCAGGGGGGAACACCACGACCACGTTGCGTCCGTTGTTCTTCATCTTGAGCAGCGGCGTGGGCTCCATGGAGCTGCTGGCTGCCAGCTCCTTCCCCTCCAGGTTCAGGTTGCTGCTGAGCGATGACACCTTGTAGGTGGTCTTGTTCCTCCTCCCCAGGGACACGGGGATCTTGGCCATCTTCACCACCATCTTCCTCACCCCCCGGCACTTGCTCTTCTTCCCTGCCGTGGGGGCTTTGGGCATCTCGTTGGGGTCCAGCGTGGTGGGGGGCGGTGGCGGTGGGGGGCTCAGCACGGGGGTGTCAGGCTCCTCGGGCCCGGGGGGCAGCTCGGCGGGCAGGGTGAGGGGGGACAGGACGTGGCTCTCGGGGGTGATGTCCACCCGGCGGCCTCGCCCCGCCCTCCTCCGGCGGCACAGCATCTTTGGCTTATCAGTCCGGCGCAGGGCGTACTTGCGGTGGTCTTCGCCACACCGCCCGGCCCCCCGGCCCCCGCAGGGGCCCCGCTTCACCATGGTGCTCAGGGGACACCCCCCAAGCCGGGGCTGCAGCCCGTGGGGCCGCAGAGGGTCCCCGGTGCCCGGCTGCGCCTCCAGCAGCTCCGAGACGGTGCCCAGTGGCTGTGGCTCCAGCAGAGAGGGCTCAGTGGGCAGCAGCGGGGGCTCCAGCGCTCCGGGCAGTGGCTCCAGGGTCTGCAGCCCCAGAGGCTCCGCCAGTGGCTCCAGTGACTGCAGCTCCAGCGACTCGGACAGAGGCTCCAGCGACTGCAGCTCCAGAGACTCAGAGAGCGGCTCCAGCGACTGCAGCCCCAACGGCTCCAGGTTTTGCAGCTCCAGCGACTCTGGCAGCGGCTCCAGGCTCTGCGAATCAAGCAGCTGGGGCTGTGACTCCAGGGACTGGGAATCCAACAGCCGGGATTGGGAGTCCAGCTCTTGGGCTGGCAGCAACTGGGGCTGCGGCTCCATCGCCTGCGACTCCAGCAGCTGCGTCCCTGGGCAAGCCAGGGAGGCCAGCTCGTTCAGGATGTCCGCCTCGGCCAGTTCCGAGTAATCGCTGGCATCGGGCTGGGAGCAGCCGGCTTCATCCGCCGGAGCTTTGGAGACGTCCCCCACACCCACAGCGTGTCCTGGGGGCTGCGGGGTGCTCCCCCCACCTCCCTCAGCCTCTCCGTCACGCGCTGGGGGCCGGGGGTGCCGCGACGGGTCGGATTTGAGGAGCACCCCCCGCTCCTCGGGGCTGCGGATGCTGTTGGCCAGGGAGGGCGAGGAGAAGAAGCTGTACTGGAGGTCCCGGTCAGCGGGCAGGAGGCGGCTGTCCTCGTGAGCCCCGCCGCCGCCACGGAGGCTGCCACAGTCCAGGTGCACCCCGCTGTTCTTGAGGTCCTCAGAGAGGCGGTTGAGGTCCTTCATGATGTCGATGAGCTGCACCACAGGGTGGAGGTTGATGTGCCCGTTGCCGCACTTGCTGCGGAGCAAGGCGAGGATGCCGTCTACGTTGCAGCGGCCCGAGGCCAGCGTCGCGTTGGGGAAGGTTTTGGGCGCCCGGTCGCGGGCAGATGCCTCCTCTGTGCTGCCCCCCAGGATCCGGGGCTCCCCGGCGCAGCCCAGCAGGTCCTCGGCCGCCTTGGTGCCCCCGTGGACGCTCTGGCAGCGGTCAGCCGGGTCGCCGTGCAGCAGCGAGCCTGCCTGGTGCTCCCGGCCGAGCGCGGGGCACGACCCCTCAGGGAAGCTGAGCACACTGCAGGACAGCGCCTTCTCGGCCGGGCAGGCGGGGGGCCGCTGCACCGGGTGTCCCGGCGGGTAGAATTTGGGCTCTCGGACGTAGTCGGGCGAGCCACGCACAACGCTGGTCGTTACCACTGGGCCCGGGGGCTTCACGCGCATCCTGACCTCCTCCTCCCCCGCGTGCCGCTTGGCCGAGCAGTTGCTGACATGGGGGTCAGGGAAGGTGACACCAGGACCTACGGGCGGCAGAGAGGGGGACAGTGAGGCTCCACAGGCACTGCCGGCCCAAACCAGCCAGCAGAGCCTCACTCCAACCCCCTGTTCCCAGCGATGAGGCCCCCGCATCCATCCCCCAGCTCCCTCCGCCCTGTCAGCAGCCATGACCCGACTGGCACCGCAGGAATGTGACAGCCCTGCTCACATCTGGGAAAACGGGGCCTTGGGGGAACTGGGTGCCCTCCCCAGCTCAGGAGCAGGGGGCTGGATGCCCTCCCCACACCAGGAACTCCGGCACGCTCCCCCTCCCCGGTGAAGAGGGGTGAGGCTCTGGGTTTTCCCACCCCACCCCAGGGGCAGAGTCTGGTGTCTGAGGGGAGGGCTGGGGCTGGGACTTACCCTCGGCTTTGCTGCTGCTCCTGCTATTGCACTTGAGCTCTCTGCAAAGGAAGGGGTGTGCAGGGTCAGCCCCACGCGGGGGGGGCCTCACTCAAGTGCCCCCCACCCCTATGCCAGTCCCTGCACGGGACGTACCAGGGGCTGATCCTCCCGAGCTGCCGCGCTCCGGCACCGTGGGGCCGCGGGGCATGGGCAAAGAGGGGGAGGCTGCCTCTCCCCTGGGGGACAGAGGGGCCAGGTTTGCGCCCCCCTCCCGTCCCCAGCAGCCCCTCCGTGGGGCGGGGGTCCTTTGGTGGCGCTGCCACTAGGTGTCCCCGGCGAGCCGCGCTCCGGACACGCGGGGGGGCTTCGCCCGAGGTTCGCTCAGCACCTCCCAGCCCGCATCCCCCCGGCTCCCACCCACCCCGAGCACAGCTGCAGCCCCCACCCGCGGGGACACTGCCCGGGGCCACCCCTCCCCTCGCCGGGACGCCTCTCGGTGGTGCCTGCCTCAGTTTCCCCTCTTGGGAGGGGTCAGCGAGGGTTGTGGTGGGGTGGCTCGGGCACTCACGGGTGGGTGCCGGGCACCACGTGCACACTGCACAGGGGCTGCGGTCCCTCTGTTCACCCCAAAATTCCAAGCCGGGAGGCTTGTGCAGAGCCGGGGATCCCTTCTCGCCCTGTATCTCCCCGGCAGGGATGGACAGAACATGGGCAGCAAGAAGTGCCGCCAACCCTCGCTTGGTGCCGCACCCCGTTTTCGGGGTGAGGCCCCGGGTACCTGTTGCGGGGGTGTTTGCAGTGCAGGTTCACTCGGAAGCTCCTGCTGTCGCCGTCGCTGCCGGGCTGGCGGGGGCCGCAGCCCTGGGCACGCGGGAACCACTCGGCAGGCGGGCTGGCACCGTTCTCCAGTGCGAGGGGCTGGCAGGCGACCGAGCTCCCATCTGCTCGAGAGAGACCCCGCACATCAGCCCAGCCGCCCCCTCCCCTGGGAGCGCCCCCCTCCCCGGCTGCCCTGGGCACACCGTGTGCCTCTCGTTGACGCCTCCCCCTCGAAGCCACGGCCCACAGGGGCACCCACGTTGTGCCCTTGGCCCCATCACGGAATGCCCGGGGTGGCGTTTTGGGGCAGGACAACCCTTTCCTCCCCACCGTGTGCATGCCTCGAACCGGGGGCTGCCCATATGAGATAGCCACAGCATCTCCCAGCAGGCTGTGGGCACACGCGTGCTCATCCCCATGGATGTGCACATTGCACAGGCGTGTGCAGAAGCTCTGGCCCCCCGCTCTCCGGCAGAGGCACCCCCAGCCGCTGCCCGTGTGGCTCAGGGGTGCACGGTGGAGCCCCCGAGCCCCTCGCGAGCCCCCCGTGCCAGCACGGCCGCCTGTTTCCCTCCCCAGCGCCGCGTGTGAATCCCTGCCGGTTGGCTCCCTCCCCCAGCACACACCCGCAGACACACACACGCAGCCGCTCGGCGTGATCCAGGCTCTTCCCGGTGTCTGGATTAGCGTGACAACTTATCAACAAGGCAGGGAAAGAGAATTCAAACCTGTCAGTCCATCCGCATCCCCCCCTTTCCCCGTCTCCCCGCCAGCCTTTGGGCGCAGCGCTGGCACCGCGGAGCTGCGGGCACCTCGGTGTAAAGTTACACCAAGGGCTATGTGGAGCAGGAAAATATGTGCTAGAAAGACCGGTCTCGTCTCTGCTGAGGCTGCTGGTGTGCCCAGGGAGCTGTCGGAGGGGAGGCAGGCAGGAAGGAAACAAACGGGAGGTTTTCCAGAACAGCCGCCGAGAGCTGGTCCTCGCTGCACAGGCTGCGCGGTTCCAGGGGAGGTTTGGGGTGTCGGGGAGCGTCCGGGGGTGTCGGGGGTGTCGCGATGCCACCCCCCAGCCCTGCGCCGCCGTTCCCCGCTGTGTCCGTGGCCCACGGAGCTGCGGCTGCTTCGGCAAACGCTGCGGGACGCCCGTGGGTCCCCAGCGGGTGTGGGGGTCTCTGGACACGGCATCGCCCGCGTTCTGCACGGTCCCCGTTGCCCACGGTCACCCCCGGTGTGCAGGGGATGCTGCAGGCTCAGGTCGCAGCCCCGACCCCACAGCACCGGTGTCCGGTTCTGCTCCGGTCCCACGGGGGGACACACACGTGTCCCACGACACGCGGGGGACACTCCGTGCGCCGGGACCCCGCCCTCGCCCCGTGCAAAGCGCCCCCATAGCGGGGACCACCTGCACCCCCCGAGCATCCACCCACGCACCCAGCGCGGCGTGGAGCGCAGGTGGGAGCGGCGCTGGGGAGGGGGCGCCGGGACGCGCGGGGGGGGCGCACCGGGATGTTCGCCGCGCTCACTTTCACCTCCCCGCTCAGCCCCAGGCAGCCGCCACATGTTTCCCATTAGGCTCTCCGGACCTCGCCATTCCTGGCTTCCTCGCCAGGGGTAGGGCCTTTTTCCTTATTTTTTTATTTTCCCCTTTTTTAAAAAAAAAAAAAAAAAAAAAATCTTTTAATTTTTTTTTCTCCTCCCTGGTTACAAAACACCAGCCGAGACCACACAAGCGAGGAGGGACGGAGGGAGAAGGAGAGATAGAGATGGGCGCCGCGGGCGGGGGAGAGCCGGCCAGACCGGGTGCTGCGGCGGGGCCGGGGGGGTGAGGATGAAGAGCGGGGGGATGAAGCGGGCGAGATTGCAGTCACCTCCGCTTCCCACCTCCTGACCCCGCAGCCCTGCAAAGATAACAGCCCCCGAAGACTGCTGACTCGCCTCGCAGAAATCCAATATCCTCGCCTGGTGAACTAATCGACTACCTGGGCTCCCACCTCCCCTGCCCGGGCTTAATCCTGCTGCTGCAAAGCTTTAATTAGTTTAACGGTTTCAGGCTTGACGGAGGTTGGCGGCGAGAGGAATCAGAATCATGGAATGGTTTGGGTTGGAAGGGACCTTAAGACTCATCTCCTTCCAGCCTCCTGCCAGGGGCAGGGACACCTTCCACCAGAGCTGCTCCAAGCCGGCAGGATGTCCTCCCCCACTCCACCCAGACCGGGCTCCCCTTTGGTGGAAAGGGTGCCGTGGGGTGGCAGCACGAGTGTGCAGGGGGCTGCAGGCGCCCCCAAGCCCCGCTGAGCTCCCCGAGGCTGCTGGCAGCCAGCCCCGACCCGCAGCGCTGGCACCGGGCGGGCACGGAGGGGCCGGCTTGGCACCGGCGCGGCGGCGGGGGGATGGAGGATTGGCCCCGCAGGACACGGACGTGGTTTGGTGCCCGGCTCCGAGGCCACCCAGACGTCAGGGTGGGGCCGGAGATGCCACCGGGAGACAGGCAGGCGGCAGGGACACAGCCGCCACACAGATGGGGACACGCCGGCCCGCCGCCTCCCAGCCCGCCGGGCGCCCTCCCCACTGCCCCGCCGCCCCGGGGCTCCTCGGGCACCGCGGCCACGCTTTGGGGTGGCCCCAAGTACCCCCACAGGGGCGCGGGGCCCGTCCGGTGCCGCTGTCACCCGTGTCCCGTGGGCACAGCTGGCATTCCCTGCAGGCGTGGGGTGCCCTGCCTGCCCCCCCGGTGGCACGGGGGTGTCCCGCTCGTGTGGCACACGGGGACGCCGCGGCGCCGCCTGTCCCTTGCACACTCACACTCACACACCAGGGTGGCTTTCCCCCCATCTGGGGGCACCACGGGGGTGCAGCTCCCCCGTGCACGAACCCCCCCACCCGGGGGACCCTGTCCCCTCCGCGCCCGTCCCTCGCACCCCCCCGGGCCCCTCCCGGGCGCCCCCAACCCCCGCCCCAGCAGCTCCCCCAGCCCGTCCTGCGCCTGCTGACACCAATGGAAAATCCCCTCCAGTGACAGCTTCCTGGCAGGCGCTCGCCGAGGGTTTCCGTGCTCCCCAGCCAGCCCCACTGGCCACCTCCTCCCTGCGCCACGCGGGGGGTCCCTCGGCTTCACCCCTGCACCCGACCCCCACACCCCCTCTAATTCAGCATCACGGACCCCAAAGCACGCGGGTCCTGCTCCCTCCTCCTCCTCCCCTCCCTCATCCCTGCCCTCCTCTCAAGTGGGGCACCCATCGGTGCCAGGGGTGTTTGGGGTCCTCTCTGGGCACCACTGGCAGCTCCCAGAGCCCCCACCCACCCTGGGACTGGGAGCAGGGCAGGAGCTGGGGGTTCGGGAGGGTGGGCACAGATGGGTGCTGGGGCACACAGTGCCTGCAGCAGCCCTGACCCTCCCTTCAGTTGTCACCCCAGGGCTGGAACCCCGCTGTCACATCCCCCCTGCCGTCACCACGTCCTCCCGCTGCCCTGACTCCTCTGCCATGCTCTTAATTAGGAGATGGAGCAGATGGCGCCTGGGTTTCATCTTAGGTAACGGGTCCAGACAAGCTGCTTGGCCGCCAGTTCCCATTGTGGGGCTAGGAGAGGCTTTTTTGGGGTGCCCCCCAAGCAGGGAGCTGCTGAGGGGCCCTGTGCCTCCAATGCACTGCGGGGATGCTGCAGGGACCCCAGTGCCAGAGGGGATTGGCTGGCATGGGGGGCAAACATCCCTGGGTTCTGCCCTCTCACATCATCCCAGGGTGTCACATGCCCAGGGCAGGCTCACACACCCACCCTGGCACTGGGACGAGGGTCTGGGACCACTGGGCTGTGAACAAGGGGTGCCAAAGGTCTTGACACCCTCTCATAACCCAGAGCCTACAGGAAAGTTGGCTGGGGAGTTCATTTCCCTGCAATCCCCCTGGTCCTGGCTACAGGGACGCCAGGGACACTCCCATGCTGCTGGGGACAGTGTTGAGCCAGGGACGTGGCCCTTCTCCTGGCTCTGGATGTGCCACTGGGGTCTCCTGGAGCACACCCCCCTGGCTGGTGGCATCCCCAGGCCTGGGGCTCCTGGAGCTGTGGCACCCTGGATGGGCGCAGCCCTCAGCACCAGAACGTGGCACGGTGCCCTTGAGGTGGGCAGGGGTGGGGAGGCCTGCTCAGGCTCCTATTCCTGCTGCTGCAAGAAACCATTTCCCTGCAAGGACCTTCTCCCTCAGGAGGAATGATCTATCCTGAAATGACCGCCTTCCATGCAAGGACCATCTTCCCTGCACGAAACCATCTCCCCTAAAGAGCCACCTCACCTGCAGCGGGCACTGGCCATCTCCCCTGCAAGGACCATCTCTCCTGCAATGGCCATTTCCCCATAAGCCATCTGCCCTGCCAGGACTCTCCCCTGCAAGAACCACTGGCCTTCAAGCACCATCTTCCCCACAAGGACCCCTGCAGTGATCATCTCCCCCATGAGAAATTGTCTCCCCTGCGAGGACCATCTCCCTCTAATGACCATTCCCCCTCCAAGGACTGTTACCCTCAAAGACCATCTCCCTGTAATGCCCATCTCCCCACAATAAACCATCTCCCCACACCAACCAAGCCCCCTCCAGCGACCATCTCTCCCAGCAATCATCCATCCCACCTGTCAGGAGCCCCTTCCCCCGTGCAAGGACCCCTCCTACCACCCCCAGACGTGGGTACCCCCGCTGCCCCCGGCTGCTGGGGGCGCTCAGGTGACCCCCGTGGCACCGCCCAGCGTGGATGCAGCCCCCAGCTCCCTTGGTCGTGGAGGGGTCTGACCCCCCTGCCTGGCCCGGGGGGGCTCGGGAGCGGCTGACAGATGGACGGCAGCGATGGTGGCACCTCGGCCGGCTGGAGCCCAGCGCCGCGGTTCAGAGCTAGCAGGGAACGGGCTAAATTTAGCTCTTCCCTCGGTGCCAGCTTTGTTCCCCCGCCCCGTCGAGCCGGCGCGGGAGGCGAGCAGCCCCCGGGCCCCCTGCTCTGCCCTCTCCGTGCCCGCGGGAGGCTACGGGGCAC